CTATCTATCTATCTATCTATCTATCTATCTATCTATCTATCTATCTATCTATCTATCTATCTATCATCTATCTATCTAACATCAAACTAACATCTATGTGTCTATCATCTATCTATCTATCAATCATTTATCTATCATCTAATTATCATTATCTATCTCTGTCTGTCTATCATCTATCTGTCTGTCTGTCTGCTTTCTATCTGTCTGTCTATCTATCCATCCATTCATCCAAAATTCAGGAAAATTTGCATTTTTTTTCAATCCAGCGGGATTTTTTTTTAACTGCAAGAAAATCTGTTAGGAATGAAGTTTAAGAAACTTGTCTTCTGTTTTGGCTAAGAATACATCTATTTTCTTTCTCCCAACAGAGAGAAATCAGATCAGAAAGCTTAGCTATTGTCTAATTAAGCAACAATATAAATACAAACAATTCAGAATTTTTTTTATATATTTCAGTGTATGGCTTAGTTTAACATCAAAATAAATATTCAGTCTAAAAAGGGAAATATATTGAGGGCCTCTCTGTAATTGAACTATATAAAAATTTTCGTGAACTATATGAAAACAGTCTCAGTAACTCACAGATAACATCTTTTCTCTAATCCTTAAGGAGCAAGGTTTATATGAAAATAACAACAACTTGTATGTCACCCAACTCTCAAAGACTCTGGGCTGCTCACAAGGGGCAAAGAAATTATACTAAAATCACTTCATATGTAAAAATAAATTTAAAAGATAGTGAATGGGATGGAGGGAAGAGTCTCATACTCCCTTGCTGAATGACATGGTGACGAGCATAACGAAGGCGTAATTCATATTATTATTATTATGAATTTAAAAACCGAAGAAATGCCAAACCTCATTGAAACGTTCATCTTTTTTCGACAGATCTTGTGTTGATATGGTACACAACGGTTTTTGACTTTGCAACAAGGGCGTCATAGGAGAGAGGGAAGATTCGCTGGAGGTCTGTTTTTGAAATAAATAAGAAAATAAATAAGGAGATGGTTAAATGTGATTTTCGTACGACCTTCTGATTAGCATCGTCGAGGGGGAAGGCAAATTCACTTCACAACTGCGTTGAATAGAATAGAATACAGCTGGAAGGGACCTCGGAGGTCTTCTAGTCCAGCCCCCTGTTCAAGAAGGGGAACCTATACTAACTTAACAACTAACCCTCACTTAACAACAGTGGCAAGAAAGGCCGTAAAGTGAGGCAAAACTCACTTTACAAGGATCTCGCTTAGCAATCGAAATCCCCTTTTTATGACCTTTGGACAAAAGCAACGTCGATGGGGAAACCAGATTCACTTAACAACCATGTTACTAATTCAACAACTGCAGTGACTCACTTAACAACATTGGCAAGAATGGTCGTAAACTGAGGCGAAACTCAGTTAACAACAGTCTCGCTCAGTTGTGGTAAATGCAATTCCTCTTTTGGGACCTAAAGTCAACGGAAAAGTCAGATTCACTTAACAACCTTGTTATTAAGTTAGCAACGGCAGGGATTCACTTAACGACGGCGGCAAGAAAAGTCATAAAATGGAGCAAACCCCGCTTCACAAATTTCTCGCTTAGCGACATAAATTCTGATGTTGAGGACTACCTCTAGCTATTCTGTGAAGTTTTCTCTTTTTTTGGTTTTTTTAAACTTAGGAGTGCATAGAAACTAGTTCAGTGTTTCTCAACCTTGGCCACTTGAAGATGTCCGGACTTCAACTCCCAGAATTCCCCAGCCAGCNGACAAATGTATGGATTAGGATAAATAAATACCCGGGAAACAGCTATAATCTGGTACAGTTCAGCTATAATTCAAATAAGGCTAAGTTCTGATTGCGAAAAGATCTTGCCAAAATAAATGCTCTTAATAAATGACTAATTTTCTTTTGAAGTTTGGCCCGAGACTCATGAATCAATTAGGGCATTTTTGGGAAACCTGACAGACAATCAGATCTCAGCTTTATTTGAACTTTACCCCTGTTCCTCCCCTCAGTCTGTGTCATAAATCACATTCCCCAATGAGGTGCACCCCTCCCAAGCCTGCTGCGGTATTCTGAGATCCGACTCTAGCCGAAAGTATGCGTTGAATGCGCTCCCCTCCCCTTCTCTCACCACGACAACTTTAGGAGTTGACATTATATTCTAAACACATTGTTCTTTTTTGGGGGGGGGGAATAATAAAATCATAGTCATTAATATGATACAGTTATGTTTGTTTCTCCAGAAAGTTTCATTTCCTCGGATACCTTTTCGGGCAATATGCAATATTCAATCTTCATTTCAGCAGAATTTCTCCACCATATTTTGAAATCGCGTGACATAAGCAAGACTTTCAACCATTCATTTAGTGGCCGTTGGAAGGTACAACGGCGCTGAAAAGAGACTTACGGCCACTTTTCACCCGTCCGATGATTGTAGCATCATCATGGTCACATGATCAAAATTTGGCTGCTTGGCAACTGGCATGTACTTATGACGGTTGCCTATGTGATCCCCTTTTGTGAACTCTCAACAATCCAAGTCAACGAGGAAGCCAGATTCACTTAACAACGGTACTGAAAAAGGAAACCTATGACCATTTTTCACATTTACGACCGTATCAGCATCCCCATGGCCATGTGATCAAAATTCAGATGCTTGGAAACTGTTTCCTATTTATGACGGTTGTAGAGTCACAACCTGCAAGCAAAGTCAATGGGGAAGCCAGCTTCACTCAACAACCCTGTGACCCACTTAACAACCGCAGGGAGTCACTTAACAACTGTGGCAAGAAAGGTCATAAAAATGGAGCAAAGCTCCCTTAACAAATGTCTCACTTAGCAACAGAATTTTGGTTTCAATTGTGGCCGTAAGTCAAGGATTGTCTTTACTGGAATGTACCGTAGATAGAATTTGTTCATCTTAATTATGAAGCACGACCTTTTGATCTACCTTCTGACTCAAAGAAGACCATACCTTAGGTGGAAGAGCAGCCTCACTAGCAAAACAGAGAAAAGTGACCTGTAATTTAAAAAAAAAATACATATATATAAAAAGAGATCACGTAAATTATTGAAAGAAATATAGACAGGTTTTAAATACTATATTATACTTCAGGCTTTAGCAAAAGAAGATGTATATTTGATGCCAGTTAGTTTTTTTTTAACGTCTTCCAGAAGTTTTACAAAAAAAGCTATATCTGCTGTGCATGTTTATATCTATCTATCTAATCTATCTATCATCTTTCATCTATCTATCTATCTATGTATCTATCTAACATATATCATATATATATATAAATATATATATATATATATCATCTATCTATGATCTATTTATAATCTATTTATCTATCATCTATCTACCATCTAATTATCATTATCTATCTAGTTAGCTAGCTAGCTAGCTATGTATCTATGTATCTAACATCTATCTATCATTTATCTATCATCTAACTATCATTATCTATCTCTATCTATCTATCATGTGTCTGTCTGTCTGTCTATCTATCTATCTATCTATCTTTATCTCTCTATCTCTCCATCCATCCATCCATTTATCTATTTCACTTTACCATCTATCTATCTATCTATCTATCTATCTATCTATCTATCTATCTATCTATCTATCTATCTATCTATCCAGGTCTCTGTATATCTATATCTATCTATATCTATGTCTATCTATACATTTATCTATCTATCTATAACTCTATCTATCTAAGTGTAAATCACGGTCATAAGTCACTTAAGTCCAAGACAATGTTCATGTTTTCTTTTCCTATATAATGATTTCATGGGCTTTGTTACATTATTTTTGGCTGGTTAATTTGTTGAATAGTGACTATAATAAATAGGATCCATTTATTATATTATATATAAATGCCGGGGGGGAAAACTGTTGCCAAAACAAGCCATATTCCACTGAACAAAGTTAAATTTTTTAGGGAAAAACAATGTTAAAATATAACCTAAGTAATTTTGAATAGATGCTGCTCTTACTTAAATACTGTTTTAATCTTATGCAAAACAGCACTATAATTATATGCGCTTAGCTCCTGGCAATCAATTGTAATAATTACCCCTTTCTGTTTTTCTATGTTGCTCCCTGGGGAACTCTGGGAACTGAAGTCCACTTATCAAAAAGTTGCTGATCTAAATGAAATTGAAGGTCAGCCTAGAGACAAAACTATGCAACAAATGTTCTTTTTTATATAAAAAATTCCAAATTAATGGTAGAAAAAAATCTCCTTTTAAACTTTTTACCCAATTAGTCAGGAAAAAAACACAGTTTTCTTCCATTTTGGGGGGAAATTCTAAAGGGGGAAAAGCTAATATGAAAGGAAAAATCTCTTTCTAATTCATTTATATCACAGAATTCTTTACCTGATATGGTCTATTATACACTATATGCTACAACAAACTTTTAACTATAATATTGCAATACTAGGAAACCAATAAAAATAAATATTTCTGGACCACAAGAGCCGAGGTGGCGCAGTGGGTAGAGTGCAGTACTGCAGGCCACTTCAGCTGACTGCTATCTGCAGTTCGGCGGTTCAAATCTCACCGGCTCNAGTAGTAGTAGTAGTAGTTGTTGTTGTTGTTGTTAAGGATTGGGACCAAGAAGCACTCTGAAATCCCACAAAGTAAAATTAAGGAAGAAAACAATGGACTCACCTGAGACTCTAGTTTTATTACCTACCTGAGAGTTTTTATCCCGTTCAGTTCAACATCTCAAGATCTTCGGTGTCAAAGCTCCTCCCACCCATCCATCCATTCCATCCTGCAGCCGAAACAGCCAATGACACTTACCCAAATGCAAATGCTTTGTTTCCATCAACATCCAAGGCTGTCTTCTTGAAGATCCATGCTCCCAGAGAATCCTCACCTCTCCTCTTCTTCAGCAGGAGATGGACTTTTGCCTTCACCATGGTCCATGAGAGCCTTCTAGGTCACCGCTGGTCTTCTACACGCTACATGCTGCAATCTTGAGACGGGAAACAACTTTGTGTTAGAAAGGAGCGTTGGCTTACCCGATACCCTCATTTTCTGAAGACGCGGAGAGAGCATCCTTGTGTGTCTCCACTAAGTCAGGACAATGACAAGGAACACCAAAACCACAACTCCAAGAAAATATGACTTTGTTCAGGCCAAAGATTTTTTTTTCACAGGTGATACCTCCCACTTCTGTAATCTTTCGACACGGCTGAGAACGTATGGTAAATACTAGAAAATTGAGAGAGGTAGTCTTAAACTTATGGCCACAATTAACAAAATTTCAGGTTGGCAGAAGCTGGGACAAGTCACCGGAGCTCACACCGTTACGCGGCGCTAGGGATTCGAACCGCCGAACCGCCAACCTTTCTGATCAACAAGCTCAGCATCTTGGCCACTGAGCCAATGCGTCCCATACTTTCGTTGGTAAGTTATAGAACAAAGCAATTAAAAAAAGCAACAAATAAATGCTGCCAACAGGCAACATGTAATACAGTAAGGGTATTTATTGCTCGGGAAAATGGAGATCACATCCTTCAAAATAGCCCCAAGGAAGAAAGGAAATGCTAGTTTTTAAGACGGTATAATTTGCAAAAGAAAGAAAAAAAAACCCTTTCCTTCAGTTAGTTAATCTTGTTGACTGAGACCCAATTTTTACAGAGAAGTAAAAATGTCTCAAATACAACAATAACGAGAACGCGAAGAATTAAGAATTGGCTGGACTAAAACGCCATCTCGGCTGGGACATAAATTGCCCATAATTGTGTTTTCTCCCGCTGGTTGGCCTTCCAGAAGCCCCAACCCCCCCCCCCCAAACCCCGACAAGAATGACATAAATCTCCGGCTCATGTAGGAAATGGTCACTCTTCTCTTGGAAGAGATTTAAGCCCAATTCTCAGAAAACAATTTTGTGGCCTTAAAAGACCCGGGGCTACTCCGAGGTCACTTCCCAAAGACTGCTCTCCCTCCTCCTCCTCCTCTTCCTGCGGAGAAGAAAAGTAAACACAGGGTCGTAAGTCGAGGATTACCTGCCTTCCGATCCTTCCTTACCAGGAGGAGGAGAAAACCCTCTGGTTTTAAAACTAGTTTTTAAAGCTAAATCAGTTTCTCAAATGTTAGTTGGCTCTCTGATCTGTATATATATATATATATATATACAGTATCTATCTATCCCTATCTGTCTGTCTGTCTGTCTTCTTCTTGAGTTGCCATGGTTGAATAGACGGCATTATAAATTCAATAGATAAATAAATATATCTATATCTATCTGTATCTTATCTATATATCTATACATCTCTATCAATCTCCATCTCTATCTGTCTCTATCTCTGTCTCTATATCTCTATCTTTATCTAATACAGCTATCTCTCTGTATATCTATATCTATGTCTGTCTATCTATACATCTATCTATACACCTGTATCTATCTATCTATCTATCTATCTATCTATCTATCTATCTATCTATCTATCTATCTATCTATC